ACCAAACGAGATAAATAACAGCAATGTTGCTTACTGTGAAAGAAAAATCTATGAATTTATAAATGTGGGGGAAAACTACTTTTCGTTGGAGATGGTGATACAGACGTGAAATATTTATGTTTCGTAAAAAATTTAATTATATGCATCACTATTATCTCTCAACAAAATATGTGTTTTTATTCAAACCATATTGAATATTAAATTTATGGGTAGTCAACTTGAAACAACGAAATAGAGACCACACACATCAGTTATTATATACCTACCTACCATAAAGGCGAAGCCGCTGGGAGCTATGGGCAAATACGCATTTTATATCTACTGGTATATTCGGTCACCTGTTTGAAATAGGTATCGCAACAAAAAGGTAATAATCAAGAGGAAAATATTATTACTGCTACTAGATACAATAAGTGTTGTAGTATTGTTTAATACTTTCTTCATTCGTCTACGGATTAATCAGTCAGGTTTTTAGTATAAGTACGCAATTTTCTGATTTATTGTTAGATAGATTTATTGAAGAGCATTACTTTATATCTACGTATAGTGCTAGGTATTTTTTTGTTAGTATTCCTAGTAAAAGCACTAATACTTTCGATAACGAGTGACCCTACAATCTCCTTTTATTTAGACAGCAACTATTATCTCGAATTCTTTCCATCATCATAAGGTCGTCAGTCCTAAGACTGGTTGAACGCGTACCTCCACTCTTTCTTATCCTGAGTTAATCTTCGCATTTTCCAAAAAACTAGAACAACCTACATACTTAACTATTTGCGAACAGTATCTAATATAATGTAGGTCTACCTCCACCCCGCCTAACTCCTGTTTCTGTCTCTAAAACTCTGTCTAGACCTTCATGCCTGAGAAGGTGTCCTACTAACCTATCTCGCTATTTCCTATTGACTTCCATAGAGTCCTCTGTTCTCCTTTTCTTTCTAATACCTCTTCATTTCTAACCTTCTCTTCGCCTGTAACACCACATTCCGAACGCCTCTAACCTTTTCTTTTTTGCCGCGCCCACTGACCATGTTTCGCACCCATACAGCGCCGCGCTCCAAACATACACCTTTAACAACCTTTTTCGAATTTCTAAATTAACCGTTAGAGAGCATAGAAGTGACTTCTTTTTATTGAAGGCGACTCGACCCTGCTTTATATCCCTACTACTTCTTCCGTCCTAGATACCTAAAAGTGACTTATTTTAGGTACTTTTTCTTCCCTTGCATACCAGTATTTTTATTTTTCATTTTTTTGTTTCCATATTCTTTTACTAATTCGAAATTTAGTTTCAACTGTATAAACCTTTCTGTAATGGTATTAATAATAGGAAGAATAATAATAAGCTTTGACTTCTAAGTTTCTGAGCTTTTCAATTTCTCTTTTGACCGTTGCGCTGTAATGCAGGAAACTGGTATTTATATAATATCTTGGGATCAAAACAAACGTGGAAAAATTTGTAGCGAATAAAACCGATTAGTTTACGCTAATGGCAAGTGCATTAGCGTTTGTTCGTTCACGAAAATAGCGATAGCCAGCGTAGCTGCCTGCGTGCTTGCCGGTTGACTTTTACAAAACAATACGAATTAAAAATAGTGCTCGGCCATGTCAACGGCGTCTCACTAAAAGCTAACTGGTCGAGCTGTCAAAACTTGTCAACGATAAATGTCACCAGGAACGTACACATATTTCGTCTATTTGTCATTCATTGCACGCAGTTAACTACAAAGCTAACTACGTTGCCTTTGTGCATATCACGATCTAAAAGGGAACATCCTAAGTGGACCATAGACATTCAATTTTTGTTCAGTAGATACATTCAACGCGATTTTCAAGAAATATGCTTTAAAGTAGGGTAAAAACAGAAGTGAAATGGGGTAAAAGTAGAAGCCAAAATTTCTACTCCTTCACTTAGGATTAGGATAAGATTGTGATAGGAAAAGACAACACCGACAAAGTGGGTGTTGTCATGGTCGTGTTCTTTCTTTATTTTGCTGATTTCTTACTTAAAATTTCTTAATTTTCACGTTTCCATTATATGAATCACATTTGACTCAATCAAATTGGAAATAACTCGTTCCTACTAATGCCTTGTTCAAAAAGACGTTTTTAAATGTCCCACAATATTCAGATACATTTCAGAATGAGAGCTCAGTTTTAACAAATTTGTTGTCCATTTTGCTTATTTGTACCTTATTTTTTATAATGTGAAGAAACGAAACAGGGCGCAATTTACAGCAATCATAAGTTGAATTCGTCATCGTTATAATTGAAATCCGCTGTATATGTACTTATGGATTACGCATATGTATGTCAAATTCCTGTAGGTATATTTAATTGAACCGAAGGGTGCAATTCATAATTTATCCCTTTAGAAAATGTCACATTCAATTTGTAAACTTTTTCGTACCGTGTCGTACGGAAAAGTGGAGCGTGGCACAAAAATCGATGGCGATCAAAGGGGGAAAGATCTACCAAGCATCAATAACGTTATATCGGAATAATAATTTCAACGCGGATTTAAAACTCACGTCGTATTTATTGTTATTGTGTTGACAATTGCGGGAGGTTCCCTTTTTTTGGTCTATGAAAGGCGATGATGCCGGTCACGTGTCGGACACGTGTTCGACCATGTCGACTCTGATGAGAACCTTCGTCCTCAGATCGAACAAATAGCGGCCTTTGTCTCGATAAATCGCTCGTGCATTAAATTAGGTAAATTATTTTCTGTGTGTTCACATAATGGGCTACGGACGAGGTTGTCTTTAGCGCCAACGTTGCCATTTTTCCCGCACTCAAAGTATTCACTGAGCAGCATCGAGAGCAAATGAGTGACAGTACAAGTGGTCAAATCTTTAAATAATCTTTAATAGTAATTCTCAGGAAAATCAATCCATGTAAAAAACTTAAGTTACAACGAAATCATATATTTATTTATTAAATATACGTAAAGATAGCAACAACTGTGTCTTTAGGATGAATAAATAATAATAGATAAGAAGTTATTGGAACCAGTTTAACAAATTCTCGTTTTATTGAAGAAAACCAAAGTTAGTTTATATTGTATACTGTTAAATGTAATAAGGTTTATTTTTCATTCTACCGTTATGTAGCTAAATACTCAAAAAAGAAACGTCTCCACGACGAATAAAAGGTACAAAACAATAATTTTTATGTATGCGAATTGCCGGACCATTTGGTAGAAATGTGCACAACTTTTATATTACCAAGATCCGAATTTTCGCATGCTGTATACACCATATTCGTGAAATTCTCGTCTCTAAAAACACTATGTGAAATGTTGTCCATTATGTTATTACCCGTAATTTTATTTTCCAATTCTATAGTCTTCTAATTTATACATTGAGGGGAAATCGTAGATTCACTTAAAGGAAACGATGGCGTTGTATATTGGGTGCTTATTATTTTGATTTAATTATGTCAAAGCACGCTTCGCTTCATATAATTTGACTAGCTACTTAGACACTTAGAGGAACTGGGGGTTGGCAGTCACGAATGGAATAATCAGTAGCTTATTTGCAAATTCTTATTTTATTCTGCAAAAAATACGTTTTATTAGTATGATTATTTGTTAAATTGATTGGGAAGGTATTTAAATTGTGGATAGTTACTTAAATTTCTACTCTTAGAAAATGAGAAACATATTTATATACTGATATTTCTTATTCTAAATTTTGTTCAATTTAAGCTATACTATTTACATAAAAAAATTGTCATTTACAAATAAATCTTAAATTACTTAATTTAACTTATCTTTCTAGGTAATGAAGTAAAAAGATAAACAAAAGAAACAGACCCCTATCGGACTCCCGAAGTTTAATCTAAGTGGGTAAGTTCATGAAATTAACTGTTTTGTGCTTATTAAATTAAATTTTTCATGTTCTAAAAATTGTGAATTAATATACAGATACATAGGTACAGTTTAATCTTTCATTTGTTATATGAATACTACTTTTGGCATACGAATATTTATCGTAGTATAAAGTTCGCATTTGTACTATATTTTTGACGGCAATAATCCTTCTAAGTTTTGTAATTGTCCCTACGTAGAGGATACTTTTTGCTTTCTACGTAGAAGAAACGACGATGACGAATGAGAATGTACTTCATAAAGTCGTGAACGCAAACAATTTCCTCTTGTATTTTCCCGGAATAATGACTTTAACTACTGAATGGCTTTAAATGCGCCACGATGAACATCAAAACGCATTAAAACATCAAATAGGGTATTTCGTAAGACAATTTTTATTTCGCGTGCAAATTGTAAAAGAATACCGAAAATCACGTAGTGCTCGTAATTGATTCTTTCTTTTTGTTTTGAGTCATGAAGTTGACCAATCTTGTTATAAAGTTTTATTGTTAGATTAACTAAAATCTTTGTTACTCAAATACGTTTAAAATTGACCGTTTTAATAGATTTCGTATAAGTAAGTACAATAGGTGAATTTGACACGAATACAATCAAATTATTTGGCTAAAGTTTTTCTATGTATGATCATTAAGGACATCATACCTCAAGATATCTATCGAAATAATCCTTATGGATGTTAGGTTCCTGTTTCACATTGATAGAGTTTTATTTTTTGTCAAATGCACGGTTTACTAAGTTACAATTTAGTTATTATAAAAAAGATAATTTTTTATTCGAATAACCATTTCATAGGTAGTGGATCAAGTGTTTCGTGTGTTCAAATCAAAATACGACAGATTTTTTGACGACGAATTTTTACTAAATATTAACAACAACATTTACCGATTATTTCAATTTTCTACGTGGTCTTCTTGTTCGTAACATTTCGTCCGACATGGCATGCTTTTTTTGCCTGCAAAAACAAGTTGTTTACTCTTTACGAACGTGGATCATTATTAGTCATTTTATCTATCTTTGTACGGAATATAAAATGTTTTCTGCAATGACGATAACACATCTAAAAGAAAGTACACAATAGGCTTCGACATTTTCATGTTTTCTCAGTTACGGGTTGTGATTCTTACGGTGAGGACGAACACGTTTGCGTTCACTATTAATACAATTTATTTAATTGACGCTTTTTATATCGTTTCTTCGGCTCTACGGCAAATATCTGTTAGTTATTTTATAAATTATCATTTTAAGTTCATAAATTACACAAGAATTTTTTACATTGGAAACATGGAGCTATGGTAAGTCAAATAAATACTATTTGATAAATAAATTTGTATTAAGCATAAGTAGAATTGGGTTAAATGTTTAACAATAATGAGGTAATAGCATGGGTAAGAAGGAAGGCAGAAAAAGGTATGTAATAAAAGTTCTGCAGTACTTTTTGTGACCTTTTAATGCTCACTAACTAAAGGAATTTCGTTGCGGGGTTGACATTTGACTCAATTAGTACTTCGTTTTGTAATTAGTTTTCTATAAGTAGTTTGTTTTATAGTCCAGTTACGTTATTCTATTAATATAAAACGTAGGCTGACAAAAGTACCTACATAACAAGAATGCACACTATACAGGGTGATTCTATACAATATGTGTATAATATATACTTATTTGGCAATCACATATTCGTATTTTGCGTGAATATTAAGAAAAATACACAATTATATTTCATGACATATTGTGCAAAGAAGAAAGAAGTTTATACCAATTGTTTGAATAATTGAGTAAGATGAAATTTTGTACAACTTGACATTAATTTCACTAAATCTATTCGTAATTGATCATTAATACTTTAAAAATGTGCTAATTTAAGAAGGATGGTGCTTGAAAGTGACCGGGCATTTATTATTACCTGAGATATTACCAGATAAAAATATTTAAATATCAAAAATGCATATTCAAAAGTATGGAAGAGTTAAGATACAGGTAATTAAACTTGAGAAAAACAAACTTAAAGATTTAAGGTTGTCTCTTAACTGCTTTATTTTTCATTAATTCGTTTTTTTCTTCAATCCAGGGAATTTATGATAGAAATTACACATTCCTGTATAAGCGAAAATGCATCATTTGGTGATTTTGGAATAGATTTTTTTACGACGTCAATATATCGCTTGCTTCTCTAAAAACTCTTAAACTAGTCCAACTCTCAAAATCTATTGAATAAAGCGTAAGACTCCTGACAAGCTTTAGATAACAATTATTGAACTTACATTACTTTATTATTTGTATGAAAAGATAGATGAAGGTATTTCTACGAATTTTCCTATAATACGGTGTCTCCCTATAACGTTGGGGTTTTCAATTCGCCTGTACTGTATCTAATAATTCATTTGAAATAATAAATTTTTACTTGATTAAATTGAAAATTTTGCAGTAGGTAATATTTCTTTTACGTAATCTCGTTTTAAAGCACCCTGTAGAGTTCATAAGTGGTAGTGTTCTACCTTGCCTTTGGTACCTCAGCAATCCATTAAGCGCCTAATAAAATTGATTTATTTACAACCTGTGGCACCTATATATCGTTATCCAGCGATCATAAATAACATGTCTGTAGCAATCTGGACAAGTTGCATTGAATAATTAATTAGATTACACAGATTCTTCACAAGTTTTAATGCAAATATCACACGTGAACAGGTGTTCGCTCGCCATACGTAGGCATTTAAACGCAGGCACAGATACACCTCTGCATTGGTCATATCAAAGGGTAAAGTAAACATAATAAGGTCATTCAAAGTAAACTGAAACGAAATTTTAAGGTTAGAGTCTCTTTATTTTCGATATCTTTAATTATGTTCTTTGATATATAGTTTCAGAAGTTGATCACTTTGTCCAATGTTCATCACGCGTATATTGCTTACTTAGCATAATTGAGAATTAAATTGGCGTTAGTTTTTGCCAAAAAGAAGTGTAGTGGCAGTTAATGTATAGGTAGAGTTCATATGCAGATTGTTCTTAAATGAATACTACTCTTCCATGACCTGACATAGACATTGCAGTTTTAATCAACAGGTGCAATAAAAGCTGCTTTAATTCAACATTATAAGATAATTTTATCTATACACATTCATTAATTCAGCATTCTTTCGTTTATGCTATTTTTATTGTTTCTCTAAATGAACCATAAATGACCCCATTGTCTCCTTTTTGTTTATTATGCGTCCTTCAGCTCGTACTCCTTAAAGAACTTGAAAGTTCAAAATTTCCGAAACCGGAACTTATTTTCCGAAATTTGAACCTTTCCTGATTACAAAGATCCTGGAACATCCTTTGCCGCTTTGAATAAACGCTGTTCTTGTCGTTCCTCTTTCGGAAACTTCTTTTATTTACATCGTGATAAGAGTTGGACATAATAAGCCCTTAATGCCGTAGCTGCAAGGCGTTTCCCTTCGCTCTTTCTTTTCTTTTATAGTTTTTTTTTTTCTAAAGTGGAGAAATCCGGCGGCAACTTTGTCTGCAACGAAGTAATAAGCAGCGTGTAATTCTTCATAGCTTTCTTCACTAGGGGGGCGGACGGCATTTGTAAAAATCCATAATAACCCTTTTATATTACGTACAGCGTGGAGAGTGCGTTCCACAGAATAGCGTCCCGTAAATACATACATACATACATACATGTATATATCTGTGTGTACAGTATGGAAGCCGTTGAACACCAAAGAGAAGAGCTTTGTACGACAGGGGACGGATGATATAGCAAACAGAAACGTTATCTTGGATGTGCGATCGCACTCCAAAAGAAATGTACGTTTCTGGAGAATGAGATTCCAAACGACTTCCATGCACTCGAAAACTCAGGCACAAATTGGCTTCTCGCCTTTCAACAGACCGACAGACGTTCAAAAAATCAGTGACTTCATGTGCGGTTTTTAATTGCGAAACTTACTTCACTAACTATTCTATTGAAGCGTTTTTTGAAGCTCAGGGACAGATCCAGCATATTAAGAAGGAGGAGGTTCACAACAAATTTCTGTCATTTTTTTTTCGAATTGAGACAATCTTTTATCAACATTCTCTTTTTGTATTAATTTTGAAAGAATGGTTTTAAGTAAGACGTGTAAGTATCATAATTGATAAATTCTTACAGGAGATGTGTATACAAATCTGATCCCAGTCCGGACCTGATAGCTCGCCGTCTGTAATCCGCCACTGTAACTTCTAGTATATTAGGCATCTCTGTCGTTCTGGAACTAACTAAATTAGAAGTGATTTATGAATTTTTTTATGGACAATAGTTTTTTAAGCATTAGGCATTGTCTATTATTTTATTATGCTCTTAATAGGGGGGACATTATTTTAGTGCCTTTATCTGTCTCTGTCTCTCTGTTGTTTGTCCGTTCGTCTGTGATATTGTAGTGAGTAGTCTCACAGAATAAATTGGTCCAATAATATAAAACTGTGAAAGTAATATTATTTCACAATATAGTCTTCATTGATATCAACACACTTTTGACATTTGTGAATTAACATCTCTATTCCTCGGTGAAATATTTAAATCTTTGTCGTAAGAAAATGTTTTTACCCCTAAAATTCCGTTGCGAATCTGAGAAAATAGAGTAATCAGTCGGGTTTTAAATATACGGTGGATGATCGACCTCAATAAAGCTAGACGAAATACAACCTTTGAAACACCCTCAGTTAGAACGGGGACGTTATCGTGGAACAGGAGGAGACCTTTAAGGGTTTTTTTAGAAAGGTTCAAAATTCGTGTATTAGTTGGTAATATTTACTGTTTACTGTGGAATCCACCAATAAAATTAATCGAAAATCAGAAGGAAACACTTTTCTCATGTCTTCATCCATCCAAACTGAAATTCCTTCACTGAATGTATTACTGTGCTATAGGAAGTCGAAGACTCCTATTTTAATGTGTCTGCTATTGTTTTAGCTAATTTAAGAAGGATGGTGCT